AGCGCAGATTAAAAAAAAAAAAAAAAGGAGGGTTGTTGGATTTTTTTCTTTTTTAACCAGCAGCGGTCCAGGAAGGTGGCTGAAAAGAGCCCCCTTTCTTGCTTTTTTAAGAAACAAAAGGAAGAAAGGGAAACTTCAGAGGGAAAGCTAACACTCTAGCAATGGGCTTAGTATAGTCTCTACAGAGAGGTCGCCCAGCCATAAATTTCATTCACTGCTCTCGGTTGCCATCTGGTGACCACTAAGCTTGGTGCTCTCAAATTGCTGTAGAAGGCATGCAACAGTTTCTGAACCCTGAAACATGGGGGACAGCGCTTCCTGGAAGGTGGTAGGAAAAGCGCCCACTGAAAGTGGAGGGGGGGGAGGGCAACACACTGACCTTGAGAAACCCAAGTAGAAGCTTATCGGTTCCTCCTAGGATCAGGACAGCTCCCGCTCTGCGGTTGTTTAGAAGAGCCATGAAGACCTGCCTGTTCATCCAGGCCTTTGGGGAGGTAGAATGAGACCCTTTGCTTCATTTCCACCCAGTCTGTTGTTCCTCCCATCTTTTATCTTTTTCCTTCCTTCCAGTTGGTTTTGTTGGAATTGTTTTGATTGCTGTGAACTGCCTAGAGCCTTTGGGAGTCAGGCGTCACACAAGTTGGATAATAAAAAACTAAAAACTAAAACTAGTGAAAAAGGTGCTCATTCCAGCTTACCATATCCCTGAACTATTGACGCGGCCAAGCCACGGTAGGTCACCACTAGAAGAGGATTGTTCTCCAGCCTGTAACGACTGATTTGAAATCCTCTGAAAACACCCAGGCACGGTGAAGCAATAAAAGGAAAAGTCGAACTGAATGCTGGCCTGCCAAGCTGTTTGCAGAGGGCCTCTGCCTGGGTTTCGAAAGGACCGAACGAAGCTTTGGGGGTTTTGTCCGGCCTTGTAAAGTCAAGACGTGCAAGCACAGGACAGTTTTGATTCATTCTATTCCAGAATGGGGGCTGAAGCCCCCAGAGCGGCCAGCGGTAAAAAGATCACTCCGAAAACCCTAAATGTTCCTAAATATTCTGTCCAACACGAAAAGCATTTGAACCATGCAACATAATGATGCCAAGCCATGGTGCTAAGTGGCAGAAGCCTACCCAATTGATCCTTGTGAGCTGTTTGCCCGGACGCAGGTGACAATGATGCAGTCTTTCTCGCGGCCCTGGAATCCATCCACGGTGTCAACTTCCCCAGCACTGGGGAAAAAAAGGACAGGAAGGAAGATGAGTCAGGATGATATTCTCAATCCAGCCCCCTCCTTTAAAAACCTACACCCTCTTGGAAAAAAGGGGGGCCATGCAGAAAAGATGAGGAGTAATCATATTTTAGGAGATTTCACAACCACAATGGGTGGGGGGGAGGCGGGGAAGCAGAAGGCCGGCTGGAAAAATTACAGATGTTTTCCTCCCAAACTGAATGGCAGAATCCCTGGGGGAGCTGCCAGGCCTCTGCCTCTACTTCCCCATCTCTACAATGGGAACAATATGCAAGAGGTTGCAACTGTAGGAAATCAAGTTAGTTATAACTAACTTGCCGCACGGGTTTGAGTCAGGGGACCCCGCAGAGGGCAAAGCTGGAAATGTATTTTATGCTGTCACCAAAAAGCTCAGGGCACAGGATAATCAGGCTGAGGGATGGCGCAGCAGCCACGATTCACTCGCTCTGGTCTTACCTATTTTCTCCAAACTCTTTATCCAGCTGTTTCTGTATTCTCCTTTTCTGCGCATTATAAGGAGTGACGATTCCAATTTGATGGCAACTAATGTCCTTCTTTGTCCCCTTAATTACCTTCATTAATTCTGTCAACAGCTTCACTTCTTGGGGATTAAAATAGGAGCTGAACAAAGAGAAACAGGAAGAAAAATGATTTTGGGGGGGGCGTGGAAGAGGGATAGATAAATTCAGGCTGTGAACTGGATCCACACTTCCCATTAAAGCTTAGCCCAAACACCGAATTTGTTTGGGGACACACACAAGAAAAGATCACTCCGAAAACCCTAAATGTTCCTAAATATTCTGTCCATCAACCAACTGGCACGCCGGTTCTCATCTATCAACTAGGAGGGCAAAATAAACTCTCCAGTATCCGATGAAGTATACCCCTAAGAGAAACATGCTGGGGAGAAGGGAAATGGAGGAAGCTAAGCTGGGCTTAGTAGGCAGGCTGGAAGAAGATGTTGGACCCATGACATCCCACCCCTGCTCCATGACATTTGATTTGATTTAAAAGTTATCCAACTTCTGCTTGGCCAAATCCAGCGAAAGAGAACGCAGCACTTTATTCCTCTGGCTCATCTCTTTCCCAAACACACAGATTCAGGACTCTCCTGTAGACATCTTGGCCCTGAACTACAGTAAATACATGGGCATTTGTCGAAAGGAAGTTTCTGAAGACGGTATTGACATACTGGAGTTGCATCTGCGATTGTTAGCTTGGGTTAGTTGTCTTAGCTACCCAGGAGGCCAACTGCAATTTTAATCAGTTTAGACAAGGCAACTTACTCGTTTTCTCGTTCTTCGCGGCTGTCCAAGACATCAAAAAGCAAGTAGGGTTGGAAATGCCACTCCAATGAGAAGCGATCTTCTGCTGTTTTCCTGTTTTGTGAGAATTGTCGTGGGACAGAAAGAAGTATGGTAGAATTAAAGAGTTTACACAGGGCCATTCTTCAAATTGCAAATCTTACAGGAATGGCCAAATATTTCAGTTTGTCTGGCTGCAGAGAGCCACAGGCACAAGCTTGGAGAAACTATGTAGAAACGTTGGAACAGTATGTACATAAACATGGTTTAAGCCCAAGAGACAGAAAAAATGTTAGGAAGAAGCTCAGACTGGTTCCACCCTAATTTCCTGAGATATAACAGGGAAGGAAGGGAGAACACTGTCAGGCTTTTAAAATATATCAATAAATATAGTTCTAGTCAAACTGGGGATGTCTGGCCTATCTCAAAAGGCTGACGCTAGCCTGGTTGGAATTTTCTCATTCTAGCTCAGCCATTTTTTTTTCTTTTTTGCAAGACTGTCGCTTGATTTTTTAAAAAAGGGAAAAGTTAAAACATCAGGAAAGAAACAAACCAATAAACTGAACTGCTGGATGAAGGATAATGATGGTGATGATTTTACACGCATGCATTCCAAAAATAAAACACAGGGTAAACTACCAAAAGAGAACGATGCAAGCCGTTCAAGATTCCATGTCACAGGAATTAAGGGGCCTTGGCCCAGGACTTGGGGCTGCCTGAGCACAATTTAAAAAGAATGTTTAAGAATATGTCACAGCTAGAAACACACCCCTTACAATAAACTGAGCAAAAGTGGCATGGATGGATGGATGGATGGATGGATGGATAGATGATTGATAGGTTGATAGATAATAGACAGACAGACAGAC